GTTTGCCGACGAAGATGTTCCTGGAAGTCCCTTCACTTCAAATGTCAGACCCTCGGGCGATGAAATTCGACCAGTTGAAGAGGACGTGGTAAGCTTATGAGAATAGTCCATTTTACATTTGTGTGCTTGGATGCCAAGCCTTTGAACAGGAGTGAGGCTAAGGGTGACCTTGTTATGATACAGATTTTGCTACTTTTCAAAGTAAATTACTTTGTTATCATGGTAACTAGATACTACTCTCTATCACAACAGGGTCTCCTTCAGCCACACTCCAAATCAAAGGCTTGGCAACTAAGTACACAACTGTAAAATGCGCTATTGATCTGTCATTGTAAATAGCGCTCTACAAGAAATAAATTATTATTGTTGTTAAATTATTAAAATGGCCTATTGACAGCAAATGTCATATTTCAGACGAAATTTCGACAATATTATAGTTTTGATGAATTAGCTGCTATTGTTCCTTGAAGCAATTTTCCGTTGGGTCATAGTTAATTATTAGCTATGGATGGATGGAGAGATTTATTGTGCTTTGTGATTGGTAGGTAAAACTTGCGCTGCGTTCTTCCTCAATAGAGGAAATGATTGGCTCAGAAAATTCGCCCCATTTTCTGAACCAATCAGATTCGAAACTTAGCCACACCCGACTCGATTGATCGTGTTTTCCCGCTCTTTCCCGCGCTTCCTGGGAGATTCAATCGTATGCAAACACTACTGATGTCTGAGAAGTTAATTTGCCAAAGGCTCTCGCGCACCATAGACTGCTTCGAATTAGTGGCGAACCTGTAAAACAGTTTTTAGCTAAGCGTACTGACCACGTTAAATACATTGAATTCATTGAATAATTCGAAAAGAAGTCAAGAAAAAGGATAAAAGAAACAAGAACATCGAAAACTAACTAAGCTTGTTTCAAATCTACCCCAATAATCTATTTTAGTAACATTTATCGCATGTTCTCTTTGGAGAGTTTAATGCAGCAAGGACAATGCAGTCCAATTCGCTATTCTCGCTTTTTGACCATCATTTCCCTCTCTATTTTAAAGGTGAGCTCAGGTGTATCTGACCAGTTCTGCGAACCAACCCAGCGAGTGTCCGAAGTGTTTGAAGATCTTGTTACGTTCGGTTCCACTCCCGCACAGCCTCATGATTTCGTGTTTGATCTGAAGGGCTATAAGATAGACGACCTTGAGACGATGGTTATCAGCCCCGACGGGACGGAACTCGAATCCGAGATTATTGAAACGTCACCTAAGACATACACAATCCGCTTTGTACCAAAAGAAAGCGGAGAACATACCATCTATGTCCGATTCAAGAGTGGAAGAAAGAAGGATATACCCGGAAGTCCTTTCAAGGTCTTTGTGGAGGCACCTGTGTGGGGTGGGGCTGCGAAATGTGTGGCTGCAGGACCAGGGCTCGAACGAGGTGTGGTTAACCATCCAGGAGAATTCACCGTATGGACACGTGATGCTGGTCCAGGAGGCCTTGCGATCGCAGTTGAAGGTCCTGCTAAGTCGGAGATTAAATGCACAGACAATGGTGATGGGTCTTGTAACATTTCCTACCTACCTACTACCCCAGGGGAGTACACAATCCACATCCGGTTTGCCGATGAGGATATCCCCGGAAGTCCATTCAAGACAAATGTATCGCCGGAAGTGGAAGATCGCTTTAGAGATCTCAATGTTACCGATCTTGCCGAGAGTGGATTGAAAGTGAACCAGCCTGCTTCGTTCTCCGTGCAGACTAACGCTGCTGTTGGAGACGTAACTGCGTCTGTCGTGGCACCCTCAGGGGATGAGAAAGAAGCTCAAGTGTCTAGCCTCGGTGGTGGTAACTTCGCTATTCGATTCACCCCCAGAGAATACGGTGATCATCTAGTGAATGTCCGTTTCGATGGCTCTCACATCCCCGGGAGCCCCTTCAAGATCAGAGTAGGCGGTGTGGAAGGACACCCAGAAAAAGTCAAGGCTTATGGCGAAGGTTTGAACAAGGGCAGGGTTGGTGAAGCAGCCGAATTCACCGTCAACGCCCTAGAGGCTGGCTCGGGTGCACTTGCCCTATCCGTGGATGGCCCTGCTAAGGTGAAGATGAACTGCAGTGAAAATGCGGATGGTACCTACCAAGTAACCTACAACCCAGTTATAGCAGGCGAGTACACCATTAGAATCAAATTCGCCGGCCAAGATATCCCTGGGAGCCCGTACAATGTAACAATTAGCCCCTCCGATGGCAGATATGTCAGCGACGGAGACGCATCCAAGTGCACTTCTCGAGGAACAGGCCTGCATAGTGCTGTTCTCGGACAGCCCAACTCGTTTACAGTCAACGCTAGCAATGCAGGACGTGGATCCCTTATGGTGGGAGTTGAAGGCCCTGCCATACCAGCCAAAGAAATCAATGTCAAGCACACGGGAAGCAACGTATACGCAGTCAACTACGCCCTCGAGGAACCTGGTACCTACATCCTAAAGGTCCTCTGGGCTGACAAGCACATCCCTGGAAGTCCCTTTCACGTGACTGTTTAACGCGCAAGACACGCGAGTAAACGCGAGAGTGGCGTGTAAGTGCGTCAAACGCAGGGATCTAGATCTTGTCTTGTATTTAAAAAGCTAAAAAATTCAAGAAGAAATTATTTTCATGGACTGGAAGGTTGCACTTGGATACTTTAAATCGTCTTTCGCAATATAACAATGCTAGTTTTCTAATCGATATATAATTAAATTTTTGTCAGGACTTCCTTTTCTATCAGTTTTAGGATATACAAAATTTAGCTCGCGAGAATAGTTAAAGGTCGAAGTTGTAGCAATGTTTTAATCTGAAATACAATCACAGTTTGGTAAACGTGGGTAAAATAGTAGAAATCAAAGAACACTGTAAATCGTGGTTACCATGGTTATTATTATTACCGTTTGTGTCGCTGTATTCAGATGTTCGAGTTTTTGTAAGTGAGAACTGTTTTATAAACTTAATTAGGGATATTTTCTAACAACTGATAATAAATTGCTTGAACAAGTCTTTGTCTGAGTGTATTGCATTTGTATACAATAGCCTCTGAGTCGAAATTAATTTTCAGATGTGTGTTTAATGAAAGCTTTTGAGAAACAAATTGAGATATCTGCATGCTTTTTTTTTTTTGCTTCAGGCAATTCGTTTAGTCTGTCGTGAGAACATACATGATTAACTTCCTGTTTCTCGATAAATTCATCATTTTTGCGGCTGCTGCCCCCTCTGGGGGTGAGGTTCTAATGTTATCCTGTGGAGTTGAGTCCGTGTAACAAAAGTTTTCCCTTGCAGAAATTAATTTCTTAAAAGTGTGATCGACGCACTGACAAGAAAAATTTTTTCTCTGAAGAGAGTATTTTTCCTTTGAATCAGCAAATTCTGCCAGTAGAACCGAAGATGTAATTATTTCACTTCTTGCTGTGACACTACATTAGATGATAAACATCTCCAAATAATTTCACACTAGCGTCTCCGGCAGGTAATGAAAAACGAGACTTTTCCTTGGAGAAGTACTTTAATGAGTTTGATTTGCACATCCTGAAAACTTCGAAGAAAAATTTTAATTGCTCGAAGAGAGCATTTTACCATTTCAATTGGCGTCTTATGGCCAAAAGAGCCGCTAAATTGAAGTTGCGAAGCGAGCGAGGTCCAAACTACGTTTTAACAAAATGAACCCATTTGACGGAACGATGGAATGGCGGAATATCCTGGGTGAAATGAATTAAGAAAATAATTTGTAATTAACAGGCGAATTTAAAAGAAGCATAGTTTAATTACTATTGGAGCCTAGAGGAAAAGACCAAAAGAGGAACAGTGAGGTTCTTGAGCTAGCCCCTATAAATTATTATCATTTTCTTATTGAAACTAGTGGTCGATTATGGACTTTAGATCCCAGTGGTCGATTTTAGATTTTGGACACAAGTGGCCGATTTTAAATTTTGGACACTGGGGGCCGATTTTGGACACTAGTGGCCGATTTCCAATTTAGGACATATAGTGGCCGTTTTTGGACTTTGGGCACTAATGGCCGATTTTAGATTTTGGACACTAGAGGTCGACTTCTGATTTGGACGTTGTTTTATTCAGTTCTCCCTTTCTACCTCTATTTCCTTTTAAATGAGTAAAGCGAATATGGTCCTTGATTAGGACGAACTGCTCTGACTGATAATTTCGTTTAGTCTTGTCACCTTTGCTATGGGATATGTTGATACTGGGACATTTATTGATGTCCAGACATTCTATGGCTGGCGGAGACACAGTGCAGTTACACGTGAAGGAGACCAGTTTTGTCCTTCCCTTACCGAAGCCCCAACGTCGAGAAACTTGATACTTAGTTCTTATTAACCGAGCGGGAGGTCTGTATGGGAGAATCTTGACCGAGGTCGCCATTACAGACCTCACTGCGTTCGGTCTGTACCGGCGACCGAGGTCTCCCATACAGACCGGCCTAGCTCGGTTAATAAGATGTTTATCATATGAATAAAGGCTGATAGTTTCGAAAGAAACTGTTTGGGGCTGTGTCGGTGGGGGTAACGAAATAATTTGGATATCGATATATCAACAAAGTTGAAGTGGTAAATTGGCCACCGTAACGATTACAAAAGCTGACGTTTCGAGCGTTAGCCCTTCGTCGGAGCGAATAGAGGAATTGTAGGTTGTGTGTGCTTTTAAAGGCAGAAAATGGAGCTACGTTATTGGTGGGAACATGGCAACGAGTAAAACACGAATAAATTAGTGGAATGAAAAGCGTTCGTTGATCCCTGTATTTATTATATGGCTGTGTCTTAAATGCCAATTTTTGTATTCTTTGTACCTTTTTTTTTTTCTAGACCAGTCTAGATGGCGGTCTAGATGGGAAAATATAGACCGCTTTCAATATAGATTTCAGCCAATCAAATTCGTGAATTCGATAGTTCCCAGTCCTCGTGAGACACAGCCATGATAAAACGCTTTTTTTTTTTTTCAGCGGTTTCCCTCTGCTAATGCGTCAAATGAGCAACCTTCAATATTGATCAGGTCAGTTCCGTGTTTACTTTCTCTTCACTAAGCGTGTTACTTACAAGTTCGCTGCGAGTGTACTGCTTTTTTCTTAACAGTACGTGTGCACAATGATTGCCTCATCTTCCGACGAAGAAGATGTTGATGAGGCTGGTGATGTAGACGAACATACACAAGAATTACTGAGCATCTATCAACGCGGCGAACAGACATTCTCTACCACTTCAGCCCCTTCACCAAGCGTAAGTCCATCTCTGCACACGCCGAGCCCTACGCTCTCCGTGGTGTCCGAGGCCACATTACAGGAGCAACAAGAAGACGACGAAAGAAGGGAGAGGCTGCAGTTGTATATTTTCGTTCTGCGCTGTATTGCTTATCCTTTCAACGCCCGACAGCCGACAGATATGGCACGAAGGCATGCTCGGGTTAGCAAACAAGACCTTGTAAAAATAAAACAGCGATTTGAAGATTTCCTCAAAGGAGACACAAAAATAGCTTCTGATGAGGCGTTTTATAACGCAGTAAGAGCCTACTTTGATATATTTATCTGCAGCGAAAGAGTGCAAAAGATGGTAATTAGTGGCGGGTGTTCGTCGAATGATTTTCGTGAGGTTTTCAAGACAATGATCGAGAAACGCGTACGAAGTCTTCCTGAAATAGACGGTATCAGCAAAGAAACTGTGCTAAGCTCTTGGATGGCGAAGAACGATGCGATTTTTCGCGGAGAAGATGACCCAAAAAAGGGCCCAAGAATTGCAGCCTCGGCAGCTTCCGAACTGATTTTGTCAAAAGAGCAACTCTATGAAATGTTTCAGACCATCTTGGGCGTCAAAAAATACGAACACCAAATATTGTTCAATGCTTGTCAGGTAATCTTGAAGTCTGGTTGATTAATGGTTTGCTAGTTAAATAATTTTGTTTTTTGTTTGATTGATGGACGTATTTTCTTTAAACAGTTGTTCGTTTTGTCACAATTATCTGTCTATTAATTTTTCGAGTGGATTTGCTTGTTTAATCCTTCAAGTGGAATAATCTTAAAGTCACCTAGGCATACGATTAAAAACTCAGACATGAACATTTCTTTATCAACTCTATATCTGTATAGACATCTGCCGTTTTTTATGATAATTTATGGACTGACTTGTATCAGTGAAGCGTTTCGAAACTGCATTGATTTGTAATTATGAGAACTAATTCAATTCAATTTCATTTATAATTACAAATGTAAATTTTTTGGTTATTTTAGTTTTTTTCCTTAGAGTATAAAATAGATTTGACACGAACACAATTGAAATTTTAAAATTGTGAGGAGTCAAAATTAAAATTTTTATCTCAGACACATGATTGTTGCATAAACTTGCAGAATTGTAATTAATAGAATTGGCGTAATGAGGAAGTGTTAACGACAGGTTTTAAAGTTCTAATGGAAATTACTATTTGAAATAAATCTACTTTGAAATTTTTTTTTAAATTACTGTAGGTCAATGTTATTATAGGCAGATCTTGAAATACCCAGTGAAATTTGTAAATTAAAAACTCGAAGCTTGAACATTGGTGGACAAGCTCTAGCTGTTATTTAATGACCGGGGGATCAGGTTCAGATGAAAATTAAACCTCTACTTTGCTGTTTGCTTAACTACAAGCCAGCTTTTATCTTCCCAGCCATTTGAGTTGGTGTAGCTGTAGGTGAAAATCAGTTGAAGAAATATTTAACCTCACTATTCTGAGTTTTTTTTTAATTAAGTTGTTTTAAATGATATGATTATGCGTTGTTTAGCTTGACAGTGCCGATGAACAAGCTGCATGCATTCGTCGAGAATTGCACGGAAGATGTAAAGCGATTGTAGACCAGAGAAAGGTACTTTCATTTTTCCTCTAGTTAATGTATTTTATGTATCTATTTCTTGTTTCAATATTATCTGAAATTCAGCTGTTTTTTACCTTAGTTTGGTTATATCAAATGAGTTGATGAATGTAAAATTAATTATTTTGCAACTGTAAAGAGTTTCCAAAGCTAACATTTGAAGCAACAGCTCTTCATCAGAATTAAAAAATGTCAGCTTTAGAAACTCTTTAATGGGGTAAATTTAAGTTATTAACTTATTCAATCAAACCAATTCATCTTGTAATATCTTGCCCCTTATATTTATTTACCATTATAGTTTGTTTCAAATGCATTATCACTCTTTCCCTTCTTCACCTTTTTTGTACCAATAGGTCCCTTATCTAATAAGCCTTCTCTCTGATAAGTCCTACTAGGAAGTGAACTTTCTCTCCAAAATGTCCTTCTTCTTAAATAAGCCTATTTTTTCTATGGGCCCCTTTCTTGAATAAGCCCTCCAAAATACTATCTTCTCTCAGTGCCCTCCTGTAAAAATTTGTGACAGGTGTCAGATCCCATAAGCATACTTGTGATTTTATTTTTTAGCGACTGCCAGGCTTTATACACAAAGATATGGAAACTCTGTTTGTCGAGGAACAGCAGGCTGCTATCAATCAACTGATGGGAAACTTGGAGAGTCAACCAGTGACAAAAGGTTCATCAGACTCCAAGTACTCCATGCCATTTACCAGAATCAAGGGGTAGGTAACACCTTGGCTTTGGGGATCTATTTCTTGTTCCTTCTTTTTTTGATTAATTCTTGGTATTTATATGTCAATTTTTCTACCAGACCCCAGCACACAATCTCCATTGTTGAAGTTGCTGTAGATGATGTGGATTCAGCGGTATCAAAGTCTGATGTTATGTTGAATTTCACAATTGAGGTACTAAATAAGTGTAGCTATGTCCCATTGTTATACTTTGTTATCCAACTACGCTCTGTAGAGTACAAATAATGCTCAAGACAAGTACAAATATCACGCAATGTTTTGTGTCAAGTTCAAAGTTTGCCTAATTTCCATGCCAGGGCTTGACACTAATGGTTGCTAACTAGCCACAGACTAGTAGAAATTCAGTTTTGGCTGGTGATTTTTAATTTCCACGGATTAGCCAGTTTGGCTAGTAAACAAATGTTGTAACATCTAAGATGTCATTAGCCACTTGGCTGGTAAGTTGAAAAGTTACTGTCTAGCCCTACAAGTTCCTTGTTCATGTGACGTTCAAAATAGCTGAGTTACTTGTCAACAGGTTTTGTTTAGAGACTTTCTAATGATTGTTGTTTTTTTTATTTCCAGGTGATTGTGAAAGAGGCAAAAGGCCTGAAGTCTCTTCCACCAATGAAAATTGTTTACTGTACTATGGAGGTAAGACACATTATTATAGAACATTTTCTGGTTAATTTTATTACTTTACCTAGGTGTTAAAATCAGTTACAATTATTGTCAATTAAACACAGTCATTCTGCTGGCTTTAGACAATCCTCTAACCTCCTTGAGTGACCAAGACAGAATTTCTTCTTACAATAACAATACAATATCAAGCAGACTAGTGATGAGAATAAAGAAAAATATCAGTCAGAAAATAACTAGTTGATCTAAAGTCAAAGTCAAACTCTCCAAACTCACATCATAAGAATTGTATGGTAGATGGGAAGGAGAATTACTATTGAGCTAACCGCCTCCCAGTTAGCTCAATGGATAGTGCGCTGGACTGTTGTGTGGGAGGTCGATGGCTCGTGCCCCAGCCGGACCAACACTCAAGGTCTTAAAACAAGTGAGAAGAATATGCTACCTTTCTATATCAAGAAATGGTTAAATACTCGAGTCTTCTCGGATAGGGACGAATAAATGGAGGTCCTCTCTCCTGCAGGGTTAGGGGTAGGAGACGTTAATTTCCCACGCGCAAGATTACTGACTGTGTGATGGATGTCCTCCCCTAGGGTGGTTGCTGGGTGGG